TCAAAATATTACATCCTATTTTGAAATATTAAAGTTAGTTTATCTTTTCTATATTAAAACCATTCAAAAATATTACCTCCTATTTTGAAATTTTAAAGTTAGTTTATCCTTTCTATATTAAAATCATTCAAAAATATTACTTGCTATTTGAAATATTAAAGTTAATTTATTCTTTCTATATTAAAACTATTTAAAAATATTACTTCCTATTTTGAATTATTAAAATGAGTTTATCCTTTCAAAATTGAAACCATTCAAAAATATTACATCCTATTTTGAAATGTTAAATTTATTTTATCTTTTCCATATTAAAACCATTCAAAAGTATTACATCCTATTTTGAAATATTAAAGTTAGTTTATCTTTTCTATATTTAAACCATTCTAAAATATTACTCCCTTGTTTGAAATATTAAAGTTAGTTTATCCTTTCTATAATAAAACCATTCAAAAATATTACATCCTATTTTGAAATATTAAAGTTAGTTTATCCTTTCTAAATTAAAAACATTCTAAAATATTACATCCTATTTTGAAAAATATTAAAGTTAGTTTATCCTTTCTATATTAAAACCATTCAAAAATATTACCTCCTATTTTGAAATATTGAAATTAGTTATCCTTTCTATATTTAAACCATTCAAAAATATTACTAACTATTTTGAAATATTAAATTTAGTATATCCTTTCTATTTAAAAACTATTCTAAAATATTACTCCCTATTTTGAAATATTAAAGTTAGTTTATCCTTTCTATCTTAAAACCATTCAAAAATATTACAAGCTATTTTGAAATATTAAAGTTAGTTTATCCTTTCTATATTAAAACTATTCAAAAATATTACTATCTATTTTGAAATATTAAAGTTAGTTTATCCTTTCTATATTAAAATCATTCATAAATATTACCTCCTATTTTGAAATATTTAAGTTAGTTTATCCTTTCTATATTAAAACCATTCAAAAGTATTACATCCTATTTTGAAATATTAAAATTAGTTTATCCTTTCTATTTTAAAACCATTCAAAAATATTACTTGCTATTTGAAATATTTAAGTTAGTTTATCCTTTCTATATTAAAACTATTCAAAAATATTACTATCTATTTTTGAAGTATGAAAGTTAGTTTATCCTTTCTATATTAAAACCATTCAAAAATATTACAAGTTGCTTTGAAATATTAAAGTTAGTTTATCCTTTCTATATTAATACCATTCAAAAATATTACCTCCTATTTTGAAATAGTAAAGGTAGTTTATACTTTCTATCTATCTTAAACAATTGAAAAATATTACATGCTATTTTGAAATATTAAAGTTAGTTTATAATTTCGTTCTATCATAATCGAATTAACAATATTACTCCCTATTTGAATAATTAAAATTAATAATTTTTTCTATCTATCTTAAACAATTCAAAAATATTATTATTAAAATATAAGAATTAGATAACAGAATTTCTCAATTTAAAATAAAAGAAAATAAATAATAAGAATGCCAATTTATTAAATAAAATCTATTATAAAATAATTTAAATCTTATAATTTTTTCTATTTTGTAATAAAAAACACTACACTATATTGACTGAATTAATTGAAATAATTATTAATGAAAATTAAATGATTAATATAATTACTCGATAAGTTTATATTAATATTTTGATTCAACTTCTTTCTATAAACTATTCCAGAACGTAGTAAAATCTCTGTATTGGTTCAAAAAATTATCGTTTTGACCTTATTATTGCTCCATCTCTGCATGTTAGTTGATAACCTAGTTAGAATTTGCTTATTGATTTTAAATAAAAGGTTAAATAATTTGTTATTAATTTATTTATTAATCCTTTAATAATAAGTCATTAATTTCGTCTTCAAGGTTCTATATTTCTTATTTCTACTTTGAAATAACTTCATTCTATTTTGGTTAATTAAATTTTTAAAGCTTTTATTTCATAACTAATAAAGTGAATAAACTTATTATTTTATGTGTTCATGAATTTCTGAGTTGAGCTACTAGATTAAATCCTGTTCATTTTAACTTTAAAAAGTTTTAAGAGCTTTTTTAAGTCAGAAATTTTATTAAATTACATGATTGGGTAAAATTTTTTCTCATAACCTTGAATAAACTCAATATCACTATTAAAAGATTTGATAATATCTTAAGCTGCTCCATCATCGATGACTTCAATAAATTTGCTATCTAGCTAAAATTCAAATGAAATAATTCCTTTTAATATAATTAAAACCTCCTTTATTTCTAACCTCTCTCTTGGTTTGAATTTAGTTAATCCATCAATTATGTATTGAAGCTATTTCTTATAAACAAAACTCTAGAAATATTCATTGTATTTTAAAGGAATGTGTTTATTGACAACTAAATCTAAGTTCCACCCTTAAATCATTATGTATATTAAATAGCCTGTCAGATAAATTAAATATCTTTTATATTGATTGATATTTTAATTAGTATACCTAAAGAAAATGCTTCACTCTTTTAAAAGTTTATTGAAATTTTATTAATTTAAAATGATATAATCAATCTAATTTAATACTCTTGGACTTGGTTTTTACTTTACATCTACTCCTTACTCTTTATATTTTTTTGAATATATATCAAACTATGTAAAGCATTCTGGTGCTTAGCAATCAAAATTTCCCTTCTTCATATGTACCAAATAAAATGTAAACAAGAGATTGAAATATTAATAATTAAATAAATAAATGAATAATTATATAATTGAATGATTAAATGAATAATTGGATTACTTAATTAAGAAAAAATTAAATGAATTTGAAACTAAATAAATTAATTAATAAATTTATTTTAAATAAATAAAAAATTTTAGATTTGAATCAATGTTTGTTTGTTTAATTGAATAAATAAAAAATATTTTAATTGCTTAATGAATGAATTACATATTATTCAAAAGAGTATCCAGATTATCCAGTCTTATTTGCATACCCAAAATCAGCTAGTTAATTAAAAGTAAAAAATGAGAAAAGTTCTTGCTTTGTGGAAAAATTTACAAACAACAGCATTTCCGTTATAATCGATTAGGATATTGTCCATCTTGATATCATTAACTACGCAATTTCTTGAATGGATGAAGTCAAGACCCTCAGCAATATCCTTAGCATATTTGATAGCAGTGATTTCATTCAATACACCGTTTTAAGTCTACTTAATAAGTTCGCTTAAACTTCCTATTTTTAATTGATTCAATTGATTTATTTCTGGAATTCATAATAAAATTATTGTATTTTAAATGTACCTAAGCATTCAGTAAGAACTAAATAGATAAATTATTATCCTTCTATTTATCCTATAAAATTGGCCACATAGGGAGAACCTTTGCATTAATTGAGTGTGTTTATTTCTTATTAAACTTCTTTTAATGTATTTTCGTCTAATATTCCTTTTTTATCTTTAACTTTAACTCCTTTGATTGCATATCTTCTATTAGATTATTTTTGTTTTGCTAGTAACACTAAACCCTGTCCTCCTTTTCCTAAATATTTGAATTAATCATATCCTAATAATCTTAATTCATCAACCATAGTGTCGAAAATATCGCTTTATTCAGAACTCATATTTGGTTGTTAGACTTAAGAAACTTTTGGTATTTTTAAAATAAATAAATACTAATGCTGCAAGTTTTAAGAATAGAGGAAAATTTAATCATCATGAATTAGGGATTGTACATATATTTTGAAAATTAAGAAAATGATGATCAAATTAAGATTATTAATCTAATTTCCATTAAATTATTTTTACCTAGCTATTATTCCTTATTGAGCATTTGAATACCCTTATCTGCATACATCTATTTGATTTTCTGCCTGTTTTAAATATGTTGAATTAACTTCAACTTTATATTCTCTCGTTGCTATAATTGACTCCAATTATCCATTTTTACCTACTTTTTTTTTATCTATTTAATATTTTTTACTTAAAGATTTAATTAGATTAATTAATTAGTTAATTATAAAGGAAAAATGAATATATTTTATCTTTATTTGCATCTTATCATGTTTAGATGAATGAAAGAAAATTAAATTGTAGTGAATAGATATTAGAATATTTAAATGTCCATATTTTTCTTGATATTTTATAAAAAAAGGTACAAATTATAAATATTATAAATTTTCATATATTTTGCATTATAATACCCTAAAACACCCTACAATTAGTAGAAATTTGTAAGATTTTATTGATAATATATTTATAAACTTTTACTAACAAAAGTTAACAAGTACCAATTATTTTTTTTAAAAATATATGAGAATTATTATTAAAAACGATTAAGTAGAATTAATTTTTAATAAAATTAAGATAAAAATATTTAGAGTAAAAATTACATAAAAAAATATTAACAAAATGACGAAACATAAATTTGATATATAAAATAATTATTGCTATTTGCAGTATATTTTTTTGTAGCCAGCAAACTAATTGTAAAATTAAAGTAAAAAATAAATAAATTAATAAATTAATTAATTGATAATTTTTATATTATTTTAAATTAATATGTTATTTTTTTCAATAAAATCTATTAAAATATTGTGAGAAGATCTTTCAATTAATTATTTTTTCTCCAAGTAAGTAAGTTAATTTCATCTTGCACTTGCTGTAAACTATTGAAATTAAGACTTTCATCAAATCTTCCTGCCCTTTTTAGGACAGCACAAAAAGACTCTTTTTGATTAGTTCTAAATTAACCAGCTCCAAAGCCTCCTTTTTAGTTAATTGATATATGATTAAATCCTTTTATTGACTTAAGTGCTCTATACCAAAATCATCTATCGCATAAATGTTTATTGATCTTTCTTTTGAAGGAGGAACACTTTTCAATATTATAGGTAAATTGTTATTACTGATCCTTTGATTACTATTGCAATTACTCTCAAAATGATCTCATTTGAATTGCATTCTAAAAGACCAAGTACCCAAATTTAGGATTGATAGGTATCATCAACATTATTTAAGTGAGTTATAAAAGATTCATAAATCTCAACTCCAATTTATAGTTTTCCTTCAACATTTTCAAGAATATATCCTTCAGAAAAGCAAGTTAAAGTTAGTCTAGTATTACTATTTTTCCTCAATGATTATGTTTTATGGTAACTTTTAGACTTGAATCTTTAACCTTCGATTCTAGTTCTATTGAACATTATTTCCATCATCTCTTCTCTTTAAATACATTCTCTCGTGTATCGTACTTCACTCTATAGGAGTTGAAGTTCACTAAATAGCTCTATAGTTATTTTTAAAGAATACCATGGGAATAAATAAGAAGTATTGATGTCAGGAGAGTCATCTAAATCATCTAAAGTAGAAAATAAGATGATAAATTTTAAATTCCATCATTTAAGTAAGATGAATATTTTCTATAGATTATCATTTTTAAATCCTATTATCTTAAAAAAATAATATTGAGACATTCATTTTTGAATAATTCTTCTTTTAAAAAATTTCCATTTATTTTGTTAAAAAATACAAATAGAAAATTTGAAAAAGTTATTAAATCTGAATTATAATTAAATTAATTTAATCCTGGTCCATTAATGACAGTCACATGATTTTATTAAGAGTGTAAATCTTTTCTTGTGAATTTCTTATTTTGGTTTTTATTATACTCTCTGAATCTTTCAGTAGTTGTTAATGTAATTATTATAATTTAAATAAAAGTAGTAAAAATTACTATATCGATTTAATAGTTTTAATTAGCAAATTAATTTGTTAAATATTAAGATTTTTGCTTTCATTAATAAATTACTTAAACAATTCATATTCTTATAATGATTCTTTTAAATTAAAATCTTAAAATCTTTCTTAATTTGAATCACTATCAGATAACATAAAATAATTATAGAATCCTATAATTGCTTTAATCTATTGTTATGCAAATTAAGGAACCTAATTTTTTTATAATTTTTATATTTAATCAATATCAAAAACATTAAATCTCTAGATATCCTCAATTTAAAATAATTTAGTCTCCAAGCTTTCTTATAATGAATTAATAACTTATTTTAATATTTTGGATTAATTATTTAAATGTTTTTTTAAATCAGAATCATTTATCTTTTCTCTAATTTTATATTTTTAAAGACTATATAATCATCTTCATAAGAAATACTATTTATAAAAGCTATTTATTAATTTGATAAAGTCTTTCTTATTCTTTGAAATCCTTTAATACAGTGCTGACAACTTTTTTTTAATAGCATTATATTTAATATAGTCTTCTACATATCTTTTTTCAAATAATTTAACTCAGCAAAAATAGACTAATGTATTGTAAAAAAATAAATTATTTCAATTATTTTTTAATTATTTTTATATTTCTAAGCTTTCATGTGTAGAAAATCATTTAATGAATTTATTCTTGATTTATATAATTCTAATATTCTTTCAATAGACTGCAAATAAGAAACCCACCTTATATCTAATTATATCTAAGGGGAGTAACAATTTTTTGGTTAAAATATTTGCTATGTATACAATTCTTATTCTCTTTTTATACATATTTAAGTCTTTAATAGGTAAAAAGCCAAGAATCTTAAAGTTTATATTCTTCTTTCTTTGATTTTTTTTCTTCTATCAATAATTTTTGAAATAACATTTTTAAATATGTAAAAGAAAAATTAAAGAAATATCTTTTCTTATTATTTTATTTCTTCAATGATTGATGTTTCATCAACATAATTAACGTTGATTTCTTTATTTTTTGGATTTAAGTAATGGTAATATATCTACCCATCTGATGAATATTTCTTTAATTAACTAAACTTGATCAAATAATAAATAAAACCATTAACTCTCTAATAATCTCAAAGAAAATTCAAAATATTATGGGTTGTCTTAATTTTTTTATTAATTTAAAATCGAATTTTCACATTTTTACAGTTACTTATATTTTAAAAATTGATTATTTAATAATCATCTCAATCATCTTTTTGAAAAAAATATCATCCACAGATGAATAGATTTTTTTTTCAATTCACAAAACTGATTACAAAAGAATATTTTTCACTAATTACAAATATTATTCTTTTATTAACTCACATAAATTTAAAAAATCTATTTATTTTTACTAATTAAAATGGAATTTGTAAAATTTATTGGCATCAGTTACTTTTTGTGAAATAACTGTATATTTATATAATAATTTTAAAAAGTATTATAAAAAAAAAAAGAATTTGTAAATTAAATTTGCAGCAACATATAAAAATATAAAAACATACATAAATCAATATCATATAATATATAATAACTTATTACAAATTTTTTTTATATTCATATAATGAGTTGTGTGTTACTCTACTGGTTCTTCTTTATTATAAATGAATCTTGAATCTAGGATTATAAAATCTTCCAAGCTCTACAAACTTAATATATATGTTTAAATTATTAATTAATAAATTAAAAGTACTTAAATAACTTTACTTAATTTTTTAATTTTAATAATTTTGATCTTATCAAATATTTATTTAATATTTTACTTTATTTAAATGCAAATAACAAATAAATTCCAAATTATTAAAGGACATCAATCTAATTTATGTAAAAGACTTTACCTTTTATTTAATATTTTATTTAAATCATTTTTTAAAATTGATCTTAAAACATTACTAGCTATTTATTAAATTTAAATTAGTTCAGTATCTATCTATTCATCGATTAAAATTTATTTAGTTTTATTACTATCTATTTTTTGTTATTAAATAATTAATTTTTTTAATAAAAAATAATGATGCAAATAAATAAATACTAGAGGCAGCCTGTTAATTATTTTAAAAATTAAATCTATCTTTCTATAATTTTTTAAATATCTGTTATTTTTACCGATTATTTCAATTTAAATTTGAGGGTATTTTTATTCCTTCAAAAAATTGTACATTTATCTATCTATCTATTTTATAAATTTATTTAAATAATAACTTTATAGTATCGAAAATGTATGTATTACTTACTATATGAATATTTTATGAAATATTTATAATCAGCTAAAATATTTCAAAATATTTACCAAGTATTTTGTTAATAATTAGTTTATTTAATTGCATTTCATTTAAATTTTACTCTCTATATTTAAATATAATTTAGTATTTCAAAACTAGAAAATAATTTTAAGTATTACATCCTATTGAATAATAAATAAATTTGTCATTTAGCACACCTAAAAATCTATATTACTGCCTATTTAAGTTATTAAAATATATCTTTTGTTTTTTTATTTTATTTTTATATATTACTTTCTTTTAAAATAATAATTTTATTTAATTCTTTCAAAACTAACCAAAAGATTCAAATGTTACTCTCTATTTTGAAATAATAAAGTTAGTTCATTCTTTCTATCTTAAATCATACAAAAACATTTATTACTCTCTATTTTTAAATTTAGATCATTTTTTCAATTTATCTTAAGCAATTCAAATATATTTATTACACTCTTTTTTAAAATATTAAAGTAAGTAAATTGTTTCGTTAAATATTAAACGATTCAAAAATCTTAAATGTTAAAGTTAATTATTATTAATATTTTAAAGGATTCAAAAATATTACTTCCTATTTTGAGATATTAAAGTTAGTTGATAGTTTCTTTATATCTTAAATGATTCAAAAATATTACTTCCTATTTTGAAATGTTAAAGTTAATTAATTTATTATTTGTATCTTAAAAGATTCAAAAATGTTTACTAATGTCTATTTTAAAATATTAAATTTTGTCCATAGTTTCTTTGTATCTTAAATGATTCAAAAATATTACCATCTATTTTGAATTGTTAAGGTTAATTATAATTTCTGTCTTAAAAAATTCAAAAATATTTATTATTATCTATATTAAAATATTAAATTTTGTCGATTGTTTCTTTGTATCTAAAATGATTCAAAAATTTTACCACCTATTTTAAAAGTTAAAGTTAATTTATTATTTTTATCTTAAAGGATTCAAAAATATTACTCTCTATTTTGAGATTAAAGTAAGTTGATTGTTTCTTTTTATCTTAAATGATTAAAAAAATAATACTTCATATTTTGAAATGTTAAAGTTAATTTACTATTTCTTTCTTAAAGGATTCAAAAATGTTTATTACTGTCTATTTTAAAATATTAAATTTTGTCTATTGTTTCTTTATATCTTAAATGATTCAAAAATATTACATCCTATTTTGAAATATTAAATAAATTTATGATTTCTATCTTAAAGGATTTAAAAGTATTACTCTTTATTTTGAGATATTAAAGTTAGTTGATTGTCTCTTTATATTTCAAATGATCCAAAAATATTACTTGCTATTTTGAAATGTTAAAGTCAATTTATTATTTCTATCTTAAAAAATTCAAAAGTATTACTCGCTATTTTGGGATATTAAATTTAGTTCATTGTTTCTTTATTTCTTAAATGATTCAAAAATATTACTTGCTATTTTGAAATGTTAAAATTAATTTATTATTTCTCTCTTAAAGGATTCAAAAATATTTATTACTTCCTATTTAAAAATATTAAAGTTCATTCATTCATTCATTATTTATTTATTTTTTAAACGATTCAAAAATATCACAAGCTATTTTGAAATGTTACAGTCAATTTATTATTTCTATCTTAAAAAATTCAAAAGTATTACTTTCTATTTTAAGATATTAAAATTAGTTCATTGTTTCTTTCTTTTTATCTTAAATGATTCAAAAATATTACTTTCTATTTTGAAATTTTAAAGTTAATTTATTATTTCTATCTTAAAGGATTCAAAAATATTACTCTCTATTTTTGGATATTAAATTTAGTTCATTGTTTCTTTATTTCTTAAATGATTCAAAAATATTACAAACTATTTTGAAATATTAAAATTAATTTATTATTTCTATCTTAAAGGATTCAAAAATATTTATTACTTCCTATTTTGAAATATTAAAGTTCATTCATTCATTATTTATTTATTTTTAAATGATTCAAAAATATTACAAGCTATTTTGAAATGTTAATGTCATTTTATTATTTATATCTTAAAAAATTCAAAAGTATTACTCTCTATTTTAAGATATTAAAATTAGTTTATTGTTTCTTTATTTGTTAAATGATTCAAAAATATTACTTGCTATTTTGAAATGTTAAAGTTAATTTATTATTTCTATCTTAAAGGATTCAAAAATATTACTATCTATTTTAAGATATTAAAATTAGTTTATTGTTTCTTTATTTCTTAAATGATTCAAAAATATTACTTGCTATTTTGAAATTTTAAAGTTAATTTATTATTTTTATCTTCAAGGATTCAAAAATATTACTTCCTATTTTGAAATGTTAAAGTTAATTTATTATTTCTATCTTAAAGGATTCAAAAATATTACTTGCTATTTTGAAATGTTAAAGTTAATTTATTATT